TGTTGTTGTAGTAGTAGTTGTAGTTGTAGTTGTAGTTGTAGTTGTAGTTGTAGTAGTAGTAGTAGTAGTACTAGTACTAGTACTAGTACTAGTACTAGTACTAGCACTAGTACTAGTACTAGTACTAGTAGTAGTAGTAGTAGTAGTAGTAGTAGTAGTAGTAGTAGTAGTGGTGGTGGTGGTGGTGGTGGTGGTAGCAGTAGCAGGAGTAGTAGTAGCTGTAGTAGTATAGTAATAATAATAATAGTAGTAGTAGTAGCAGTAGTAGTAGTAGTAGTAGTAGTAGTAGTAGTGGTAGCAGTAGTAGTAAAGGTGGTAGTAGTAGTAGTAGCAGCAGTGCTAGTAGCAGTATCAATATTAGTATTCCTCCTGTTCCTCCTCCTTCTCCTCCTTCTCTTCCGCCTCCTCATGCTCCGCCTCCTCCTCATCTTCTCGCTTTCCTTATGCATGATTGCTCGCCGTCGAACCCCGAGGCCAGTCGGAAGAGCGGGCCCGGCGTTTTGCCTGAGACGTTCTTGTCACCAACGAACATGAAGCTGAGAAGCTGGTAGCAGTTTCAAGTTTCACAGGTGGAGGGCAGGTGTTTTTAAAATGTGGCTTTCGCCTTAGCGCCGCGCATATTCGTTTTCAACAGTTGCAAGAGCTTTATGGATGGAGGGCGGGTGGTTTTCAGCATGTGGCTCTCGCCTAGCGCCGCGCACACTCGTTTAACAAAATTGCAAGAGTTCTACGGAATGAGGGCGGCTCCTTTTCAACATGTGGCTCTCGCTTTAGCGATGTGCACGTTCGTTTCAACAAACACGCAAGAGCGTCACGGGTTCTCGAGGTTCACGTACCAGACATTGTGATTCGTAGCGGTTAAGGATTGTCGGGACGCAACGGTTACGTTGATTCACGGTGTCAAGGTCCCAGGAATGGTACTCTGGCACAGTTCAGGATCGTCAAGACGCAAAAATCAGGTTGATTCGTGGCATTGAAGTCCTGAGCATGACGTTTCCGCACGCTTCCAGATGTTCAAACGGTTGTCTCAGAACGGGGCACCTCCCTCAGTGAAAATGAACCCTTGAAAGGACCTATGAAGAAGGAACTTGAAGAGAGGGTGTATTGCAATATCGTTGATGAGTCTTGGGTTTACACTGGTCCTATCCTCCTCCTCCTCCTCCTCCTCCTCCTCCTCCTCCTCCTCCTCCTCCTCCTCCTTCTCCCTCCTCCCACATCCTCTCTTCAACTCCTCCTCCTCCTCCTCCTCCTCCTCCTCCTCCTCCTTCTCCCTCCTCCCACATCCTCTCTTCAACTCCTCCTCCTGAGACGGCGCGCCTGCGGCCACCCGTCGGAGAAGGCCGCGGCGGGCTGACCTGCGGGGGGCGATCCGGGCAGGCGGAGAGGGACCCTGGCACTGGGCGGCCTCGCCTCGGCCCGGCCCACTTCGCAACGGGGCGACTTCGCACCGTGCGATCTCGCACTGGGCGATTTCGCCCCCCGGACGGTTTCGTGCTGGGGACGTCGCGGATCCGTCCAGCTGGGGAAATGCCACGGTTAAGACGGGAATCTTGGGCCCCGGTCGCGCTCTCACGATTCACGACGTTTCATGTGTTTGTCATATCGGCTCTCAGGGTCTGGAGCCCCTTGGACTGCCACCCTCCCACCCTCCCTCCCTCCTCCTCCTCCTCCTCCTCCTCCTCCTCCTCCTCCTCCTCCTCCTCCTCCCCCTCCTCTGGTCCCTCCATCCATCCTCTCCTCCCTCTCTCCTCTCCTCCTCCTACCCTCCTCCCCCCTTCCCCTCCTCGCCTCCCTCTCTCCTCTCCACGCTTACCCAACATGACTGCTACTCTCCTCTCTGCTCGGCTCCTGCCCGAGCGGGGGACCCGTCTCCCGCATACAGGACATCCAAATTTGGTCTAGATATGTTTACGCTTTCGCTCAGGACGTGTTCGATCTTTCGAACATGGTGCTCCCGCTGAAGATCTGCCCCCCGCTCAGGATCGGCGGGGTCGCTCCCGTCGCCCCCACGCGGGCCACGCTTCCGGATCCGGCTCCTTCCTCGTCGCTGTCGCGTCCCTCCTTTCCCCTCCTCCCCCCTTCTACTCATCCCGCTCCTCCTGCGCCTGCTCCTGCTGCTGCTGCTGCTCCTCCTCCACCTCCTCCTCCTTGCTCCTTCCTCCTTCCTCCGCCCTCCTTCCTCCTGCTTCATCCTCCTCCTTCTCCTCCTGTTCATCCTTCTGCCCATGCGCCACCTCCTCCTCCTCCTCCACCTCCTCCTCCTCCTCCTCCATGTGCGCCGTTCCCCTCTCTGATTGCGCATCACACGATGGGGTCAACTTGGGCATCCAGGTAGGTCGGCAGATAGAAAGCAATGAGCGCAATGGGACGGGATAGGTGGGAGGGGTAGGATGTCAGATATGGCGCGCGCCTGGCTTATCCATCTTCCCTTTCCTTCTCCCCTCCTGTCCTCCTCTCTTCCATCCCTCTGTTCCTCGCGTCCGTTCCCATTGGGCCCCAGGACCGTCGCAGACGGCTCAGGACGAAACGGCGGTCCTAGGGGCCAAAAAAACACGTTGTGAGAAAATCACGACAGCAGAGTTCTGGGTCCTCTTGGCTCGGCTCCACCCCTCCCTCCTCTCCTCCCCTCCCCTTCCGGGAACTGGCAGCACCGACCCGGGCTGCATCGGCGCGGAGCCAACCTCGGATCTGATCGGCCGCGCTGGGGCATGCACAACATGCGCGCCCTGCAGACTCTGGAGTCCCGCAACGGTGCGGTGACAGACCGTGCGGTGACCTCGGAACCCCAAGAGACCTCACCGCACGGCCCGTCACCGCACGGTCTTGGGACCCTGGAGGCCCCTGTCGCCCGAGACGTCCTCAGGGAACGACCCGAGCCCCAAAACCGTGCGGTGACCCCAAGTCCCCACCGACTCACCGCACGGTGTGGTCACCGCACCGTCTTGGGGGCCCCCGACAAACATCGGGCTGCATAGGGTCGCCGGAGTATCGGAATCGCAGCGGATCGGGCAGGCCGAAATCGATACCGATACAGGATCGGTCGACCGGATCGAGCAGGACCACGCCCTGCCTCCTCTCCTGCGGCGCCACCACTGCCTCGGGGCGCCCGCGCCTGCGCCCCGGCTCGGCAAGCGCCCAGGGCTGTCGAGCGAGCGCCGTTCGCGTAGGAGCGGCGAGGAGAAGCGGGCCTTGCGCAGAACGACGCAGCGACCTCACGCCGCGGCTCGCGCAGGCCGCCAGCGTGGCTCACCGCCTGGAGGGTGAGGCGCCTGCGCGCGGCCCTGCGCGGGAGGCCTGCGCGCGAGCGTCGGTGCAGTCGCTCCTGTGTTCTGCCGCTGCTCCTGGGGGGTGGGGGGTGCTCGTCTCCTCCCACGGTGGAGGAGGCAGGGGTGCGTCGAACGAGAAGAGGCGGGAGGGGGGCCGGGAGGGGGAGGGCAGGATAGGACGGCACGGAAGACGCGTGCCCGCCGCGGGACCGCCCAGGCAACTGGACGAGACAAAATCTGAGGGTGCACGTTCAGGGGTTAATTTTCTTGGCGCAAGGGGCGCAGAGGGACGCGGAGCGAGGATGGGTGAGGGAGACATCAAGGGAGAGCGGAAGCTTTCGTTGGATCTCTGACCTGCGCGAGTGCACGCCGTGTGTGAGGAAGAGCGGAAAGCGGGGGAGGAGGGAGGGCGCGCCTAAGGACGTGGACGACGAGGAACAGGATGGCGAAACAAGAGGAGCAGGAGGAACGAACGAACGAACCAGCCTCGGAGCTCCGCTGAGTCGACCACACACGAGCCTTCGCTTCGGCTGCCTAGTCGCATACGGGCTCTAGCTGAGATTATCTGGATTCTCTGTCACATCGTGCCGAACTGTCGCCATCGAACGATTGGGCCCAACCGCAAGGATGAACATATTGATGTTGCTGTTACCTGCTCTATGTGGCTGGGAGACCCAGCAGCCCACACCACTCACAGATTCAACTGCCTCGAAGTTATAACGGCAATGACGCTGTATCGCCAAACCGCCACTCTACAAAATTAGTCTCGGATCGTCTCCACGTTCGTCCAACCTTGACCGTTTTGCATCCAGAGTAGTACCACAAACATTGATTCTCCACACGCTTCGTGGGGTAATTCGCAGAAAACGTTGGTTCAGTCCCTCCAGCATGGAATGCATGGCATGCTGGGATCTGTTCCACAGATGTATCCGTGATAATATAGCGCAGTAGGATGATGATGAGGAGGAGGAGGATGCTGCTGATGATGATTATATTGATGATGATGATGATGATGATGATGATGATGATGAGGAGGAGGAGGAGGAGGAGGATGCTGATGATGATGCCGATGATGATGATGATGACGATGATGATAATGATGACGATGATGCTGATGCTGACGATGATCGCAAGTAGCTTCAGCGCAGCCACGTGCCAGGCTACGCCCCGAGGACGCGCAGCGCAGCCGCTCTGATGTCGAGATGCTCGCTGTAAACGGGATTGGGCGCACTACTCGGGCGGGTGCGCAGCTGATAGCAAGTGTTGTAGCCAGGCAGCCAGGGCCAGCAGCAGCAGCAGGCAGCGCTTCCGAGAGGCTCCCCCTGCATACTCGCTCCCCTAACCCGAGCCTGGGCGGACGAGATGAGGATGAGGATGAAAATGAGGATAAGGATGAGGATGAGGATGAGGATGAGGATGAGGATGATGAGGAGGATGAAGTTGATGCTGATTATGATGATGCTATGTCTGATGATGCTGATGATGATGATGAGGAGGAGGAGGATGAGGATGAGGATGAGGACGCCTCCATCCAGGACGCGTGTGGCCAACGTAAACGGAGGAACCAGGAAGAACGGCCCGGAGATGCCGTCCTTCTCCCCAGGGCCTACTCTTCATCGCGAGTCGCGTTCTGACGGTCCTGGAGCCCGGCCAGGGCCCTCAGGCCGGGAGCGGCCCCGAACATCGGGCGGCGCTCTTGGCCGAGCGCGCCCCGGCGTCGCCCCCCCTCCTGCTTTCGGCCTGCGCGCCGCGCGCCCCTCGGCTTCGCTTCGAGCCGCCGTCGCGCGCCCGCGGCGCGCGCGGCCGCCCGCGTCAGGTCATCGGGAAGGCCGCCGCCGCGCGGCGAGCGGTCGGGGACTCCGCGGCCGCGCGGCCGTCGCCCGCCGGCGCACCTCGGGGCCTGCCAGCGTACCTGTGGGCAGGCGCGGCGCTCGCGGCGTGGCCGGCGGCAGCGGGGGCGGTGGGCGCGGAGCGCCCGCCGCCAGATCCTGGGGCCTTCCCTGAGATCCAAGCGTCTTCTGTTATCGCAATATGAGGAGGAGCAATGACAAAGCTGAGGGGACGAGGAAACGATCGCGACGCTGCACCACCCTGCACCACAAGCACTCTGTAGCCATATTTTCGCGCCGGGCGTTTGCGACCAAGTTCGGCCCCTGGGACCCTCACGTGCTGATCCAGTTCGACAAATGCGGCAGACAGATGGGGTCCAGGGCTCCGGCCGCGATTTGTCGCGATGCTGTCTTTTTTGTTCCGATGTCGGATCTTCGGGTAGGGCCGAATCCCTGGGCCCCGGCCCTGGCAGACTCGCGCTGGGAACAACAATCCCACCAGCCCTCTGGGCGACAGGTGTTCTAAGGAGGGTCTCTCTCCTCCTCCACAACCCCTCTTCCCTTCGGGGACGGGTACCCTCCCCGCTCCTCCCTGAAGAGGTGTCGTAGGCTCCTTTTTCGGCCAGTGGGAGGGCGAATTCTGACACCCCTAACGAAGATCGTGGCCCCCGAAGGGGGGACGATCATCGAGTACCCCCCCTCTTTTGACCGACCGCCTTCACAATGGCCCCAAGAGACCCCCCGGGGTTCCCAAGAGGCCCCCGAGAGGGCCCCACGAGCGCCCCAAGAGGCCCCAAGAAGGCTCCAAGAGGCCCCCGAGAGGCCCCCAAGAGGCCCCCGAATGGCCCCGTAGCGGCATCAGAGAGCCCAAGATGACCTCCAAGATGGCTCAAAATAATCCAAGCTGGCTCAAGATGGTCCCCAAGATGCCCCAAGACCGCTCCAAGACGGCTCGAGATGGCCACGGAGTCTCCCCAAGAGGCCGCCAAGAAGCCAAAATCCCCCTGTTCGCGTCCCTCCTCTCTTTCTGTCATCTCTCATGGCCATCGTTTCTGGATGGGCTGGCGGGGATACTTTTGATCGCGACCGCGAGCGGACACCCGCGCGGCGTCAAACAGTCGAAAAGGTAAGGCCGCTACGCCGGGCCGGCTACATGGCACTACGAAAGAAGCAGGAAGGGGCGAAACGAAGAAGAGAGCGAAGAGCAAGAGAGAGCGCGAAGAGAAAGAGAGAGCGACACGAAGAGAACGACGGCGAGAGAGGGCCGAGGGAGCGGGAAGGATAAAAAACGCAGCTCAGAAGAGGAACGAACAAGTAGGGGATCATCATGACCCTGATGTACTCCATGCACTTGCCGTAAATGAGCGGCAGATGACCTCAAAACCAACCCAATCATCAGAAGCAGATGCCTCGTAATGACCAGGTGACTGCAGAGCCCAGGAGTGGACGACGGCAGCGCAAGCAAGTGGAAGCCCAACAGCGCCCTCACCGAGGACCGATTAGCAGTGCCCACGGCCGTCTCCAGTGCCAGCGCGAGGCCGACAGGGCGAAAGGGACCTACCGCCCCGCGTGCCCCGGGGGGGGCACAAGGTCTGGAGGCGCCCGGCAGAGAAAGGCAGTTGACAGCCGCCGGGAACTCGATCAGCTGCAGGGGGAGGCGGCTGACAGCCGCAGAAGGTGGGTGCCCGCGCCATTATCGCCAGTGACCAGCCAACGGCCCTGGGGGCGTAGCTAACAGCGACGGTAGCTGAAGGGGAAAAGTTTCGCCTGAGACATACCGGTGCCCAGCGGGGGTGCAGCTAACAGCCGCAGAATGAAGGGAAATGGTTTCTCCTGAAACATCCAGAAGCCCGGCCAGAGTGCAGCTGACAGCCGCAGATGGATGGGGGAATGCTTCGCCTGAGACATGCTGGTCCTCTGATACGGTGCAGCTAACAGCCGCAGGGTGGTGGGAAATAGTTACTGGTTTCGCCTGAGACCAGTCGATTCGCCTGAGACGCGCAGCTGCTTTGCAGGGGCGTGGGTAACAGGCGCGGCCTGGGGGGTACGGGTCGCGACTGCATGGTCAGGCGGGGTGCAGCTAACAGCCGCAGGATGCTGTGTAGTGGCTTCGCCTGAGACGTGTCGACGCACTGCTGCGGTGCAGCTAACAGCCGCAGAGTGATGGGAAATAGTTTCACCTGAGACATCCCGATGCTTGGCCGAAAGGCAGCTGACAGCCGCAGAGTGATGGGGATTGTTTCGCCTGAGACATGCTGGTCCTCTGGTAGGGTGCAGCTAACAGCCGCAGGATGGTGGGAATGAGCTTCGCCTGAGACGCGCCGCCGTGCAGCCACTTGGGGAAGACCAGCGGAGGAGTAACCGGGGGCCGCAGTCAGCCACGAGCAGGGGGGAGTGGCCAGGATAAGACCGTCCAGCCCGACCCGCAGTGAGGGGTAGGGGACCACAGCCCGTTCCACACCAGTGCAACAGACAGCCGCAACGGCGTGGAGCGGGCGGTGGACACAACAGCCGTAGGAGACGACGGCCGAGACGGGGCCCCGAGGGCAATCAACCAGAAGGAGGGTGGCGAGCCGCCATCGTGGAGGTAGTGAGAGGCACCAGGGCGACCCAAGCGGTGGGGATACTGTTTGATTTGCGGGCTCGCGAAACAGGTCAAAAGCCGCCCGAACACAAGTCGGGCCGCGACTAAGCAACAAGAAAAGTAAGGCAAGCGGAAGCGCGAAGAATCCCACCAGACAACTGGGCACAGGTGGTTTAGCGAGCTCCGCCTTCTCTCTGCCAAGGCTCCCTCCAGCCCCAGCACTGGGGAGAGGCATACAACTGCCCCGAATCGATGCACACACAACCTCCCCCAGGCGGCTGGCAGCCAACCTGGACCACCCAGCCCCCTCCCCCGACAAATTAAGGAACAAACCATGGAAAAGTCCTCAGCCGCCACATATGGCGCATGCGCGGGCGCCCCTCGACCACATTGCATGTGCTCCCACGGCGGCCCGGCCCACTGCGCGCCCCCCAGCCGAGGGATGACCTAGAGAGGTACGGCCCGAGACTTGCCGAATCTCTGCAGGGGTGCGGCAGACAGCCGCAGGAAGGTAAGACATGGCACGGCCTGAAACGCGCCGCCGCGCAGCCACTTGGGGGCGTCCAGCGGAGGCGCAACCCGGTGCGACAGCCAGCCAAACACGGGTGGAGCGGCCAGGACACGACCGTTGAGCCCAACCTGCAGGGAGGGGTAGGGCACCACAGCCCGTTCCACTCCAGCGCAGCAGACAGCAGCAACGGCGTGGAGCGGGCGGGCGACAGAACAAGCTACCAGGGCCCGCGGGCCAGCCGTGGCCAGGAGCCAGCCAGACCGGAGGCCACAGCGAGCGAGGCCTGCCAGGGCGAGTGGGGTTCGAATACACGCACCGAGCCCTGGGCCGGCCGAGTCCCCAAGCAGCGCAGGCACGGCCGAGCAGCACCCCCAGGGCGAAACCCAGTTATCCTCGCGCGCGCGCGCCCGCCTGCGCGGGGGCCCACGAGGCCCGAGACGCCCGCCACCAACCCGACAGAGAAACAGAATTCCACCAACCCTCTGCGCACAGGGGGCGAAACGAGCCCAGCCACCTCTCAGCCAAAGCACCCTCCAGCCCCTGCACGGGGGAGAAGCTTACAGCAGTCCCATACACACAATCCCCCCAGGCAACCGGCGGAAGTGGTTTCGCCTGAGACCTGCCGATGCACTGCTGGGGCGCGGCCAGCAGCCGCGGATGGTAGGAAAAGGTTTCGTCTGAGACCAGCCGATGCTCTGATGGGGTGCGGCCAACAGCCGCGGGATGGTAGGAAGTGGTTTCGCCTGAGACCTGCCGAAGCACTGCTGGGGCGCGGCTGACAGCCGCGGGATGGTAGGAAGGGGGTTCGCCTGAGACCAGCCGATGATCAGCAGGGTGCGGCTATCAGCCGCGGGACGGTCGGAAATGGTTAATGGTTCCACCGGAGACATCCCGATGCACGGCCGGAGAGCAGCTGACAGCCGCAGAATGATGGGGGATGGCTTCGCCCGAGACATGTAGGTCCTCTGGTAGGGAGCAGCTAACAGCCGCAGAGATGGGTAGGGGACCACAGACCGTTCCACACCAGCGCAGCAGACAGCCGCAACGGCGTGGAGCGGGCGGTGGACACAACAGCCGTAGGGGACGACGGCCGAGACGGGGCCCTGAGGGCAATCAACCAGAAGGAGGGTGGCGAGCCGCAACCGTGGAGTTAGGGGGAGGCGCCAGGTGCAGGAGGGCGACCCAAGCGAATCCAGTGGGCAAGCGGCGGGAAGGGCGATGGACGGCCGCGCGGCGGTAAGGGAACGACCCCGGTGGGCCGGGTGAGGTGAGAGGCGACAGACAGTCGCTAGAAGGGGGAACGGCGCGCCGACGCCGACGTCGCGGAGGTGGAGGCAAGCGGCCACGTTTTCGACGTCAAGGTCCTGACCACGCCCGAGAGTAAACCCACCCTACAGTGTGAGGTCACTGTCGGCGACCAAGAGATCCCGTCCATCTCCCGGCGGTGCCTGGCGCCCCCTGTTCGCGCCTGCGTGGTGTCCCAGATGTTGCCCACGCACCTGCGCCCATTCGACTCCCAGGCCCAGCGAGTCGCTCATGGCCCGAGCATCGCAGCTGCGGTTGTGAAATGAGGTGAGGAAGGCGACGCAGGTTTGCTGGTCGTGCTGGCGCGGGTCGAAAGCGCGCATGGTGCCCGGGGTAGCGCGCTGCTTGGCAAAAGCGTGCCAGACGGCCGCGAACGACGCCCCCAGGGTGACCGGAAGGTGCCTGATCGTCTCATTCGGGGACCCCCCGCGGGATTCCCGCTGGGAGTCGCGGACCCGGGCTTTATAAAGCGGCCTTCCAGTGTTGGAGTCCCGCGGTCCTGACTGCTGGCGATCGGCGAACAGACTGGGCGTCCACCCACTTCCCGTCCGACGCGCCAAGGATGCCCCCCGGTCGGGCTGCTGGCCCGTCTCGGAGGTGGAGCTCACGCCCCCACCAAAGAGGGGGGGGTCTGGCGCGCTTTGCAGGGATGCAGGGGGTGCCCCGTGGCTGCTTGTCGAGGC